CCACTGTATCCTTTAAAATTCTGTAAGAAAATTTCAATTCTATATTTTTTTTATATAATGTTATTTCTTTCATTGTTTTTTAACCCAGAATTGCCTAGCGGGTCAACTAGGGACCCGGCCGGAGCCGAAACTGGTTCGGGTGGGTGATTTTGACCGGGTGAAAATGGACCCGGTAAATTCGGTCAAAACTCGGTCAACCCGACATTGATCAAGTCGTCCGGGCATCGACCCGGCCTGGTCAACTTGGTTCAACCCAGCCAATATATTTTTTTTTTTCAAAATATTTTTTTATTTTAAAAATAAAAACCATGTATATATATATTTATATGGTTAATATTTATTATAAGATACAATATCATTAACACTTTGATGTACAAATTTTTTATACAAAATATTTACTTTGATTATTTTTACGTATATTTATATGAGATAATACTATATATAATTTAAAAAATTTTAAAATTAACTATCCGATTCAAAAATTGACCCGGCGACCTGAATATCTGTTCGAGTTAATTCCTAGTCCTGGTCTAAAAACGATGATTTCTTCTTAAATAACCAAATGGAAAATTGAAACATGCTTATAAATAAACTAGTCTAAAAAGTACAAGTTTTGAAAATGACGTCCAACTTCAAACATTTGAAAAGATATAATGTAATGCTAGTGTCATTTCAATTATGCTAGAGTTAGACATGGCCAGGTGCCGGGTTTTGGCCCGGCCCGGCGGGCTACGGGCCAGCCAACCCACGAACCGCAACCGGCCCGCCAAAAAGTAAGGGTCGGTTCATAGAACCGGCCCGAACCGCCGGTTCACCGGCCCGGCGGTTCGGCCCGGGTTCAGCCCTTAAAAAAATCAAAGGATTTGGCCCGGCCCGGCCCGGCCCGGCGGGACAAAACAAAAAAAACCGTGACCCTTAACCGGATCGGATTGGCCGCGGTCCGGTTCTCGAACCCGGCACTATTCATGCTGGTACCGGTATCGGGCCGGGCCGGGCCGGTACCGGGTCACGGGTCGGGCCACGGGCCGGGCCGCCCTTGGCCATGTCTAGCTAGAGTTCCTACTTCTTTTAAAAATATCAAAAAAATAAAAAATAAAAATAAACTGATAAAATTTATAAACAATTAATTTTTTTACATATTATTCTCGAATTTGCTTAGCATACATGGCTGCTTCTGGTGCTTCGAAATCCTACTTGGCAAAGAATCATGCTTCGTAATTAGGTTTGGACAAATAATATTGATATATTAATAATTAATAATCTAGGTTCGGACATTCCATAAATATTAAATAGCTAACTTAGGTATGTTAATATCAATTGTACTAATATAACCCTTAAATTCTTTGTAATTTTACATAGTGAGACATTAAGTGATTAATATATCCCTGGCTTTTGATTTGTTTCCTTCAATTAGTTATTTAATTGTAAATGTATTTTAAAAGTTGATAACTTTTGTATTTCTTATCGGTTTTACATATATAAGGATATATCAACTTAATCATCTTTTGATGATCTTCGATTTAGCATCCCTATTGTATATATAAAATAAATAAATTATATTTATCTTTATAATAATAAAAAATAATAATATTTATTAAAATCATTAGAAAAATAAAATTAATTCTGAATTGATATATTTATGTTTAATGTAGTTATATGTTGTAAGTTAAAAAATTATTATAATATAACACAAGTAAGTTGCACAAATAAAAAAGTGTCATACTAAATATATAATAATATATATATTTTTATAAAAGGTATTTAAATTTTCAATTAATTTTTCTCATTAATTTTAGATTTTAAAAAAAAAATTAGCAAGCACCCATGTAATACACGGGCGTTGTACTAGTATATAATATTAATACAAAAGCTAGAAATTAGCTTGTCAAGTATCATAGGAAAATAAAATGAGCTATATCTAGTCAACACGAACGGAGACCAAGTAGTTGAGAGCATCTCCAATGTACAATGTAATTGTAGTAAATTACAGTTTATATGAACAAATTTAGCAATGTCTCTACTTTTAATACTACAATGCATGATGTAATGACAAATGTAGTGATGAGGTGAACATAATTAATGTCCACAATGTAGAGAAGAATATGGTTCATCCACATTCTCTTTCACATTCCAATCAACCAATTGAAAGATGAGAGAGAAATATTATTACCATTTTCAAAATATCTAAATTATTTAATTGTTTTTGTTTCTTATTTATAATTTTTTTTATTTTTACCAAATGGACAATATTATGTTTGATCACATTGTGCATTGTAGATAATTTTTTAGATTTAAAGTTGTGAACTTAGCAAATATCTTATGTGGTTCACAATCCATTTAAATAATTGACATTTGTCAAAATTTATGTAATAACAATATTTATGCATTGAAGATGCTCTGATACAAATTGTTTAATTACTTTGATTGATAAATTTACTAAAAAAATGTTAATTACACTCAAGGAAACTTAGAAAATTTAAAAGGGCATATTTGTTTGAAGTTTTAAATGGCATTTCTTAGATTTGTTTAGATTTAATAGAAATCTTTGAAAATCTTAATTTTTTTATGTGAGATTTGGGGTGAGATTCGATATAAGATTTTTGTTTAAAATCTCAACAAATTTTAAAAAATTTTATTGAATCACGACATCAAATAAATTAAACATATCGTGATTTATTAAATTTTTTTAAATCACGAATAAAAACTTAGGACTTTTAAAAATCTTAAAAAATCCAATTAAATATACCAAGATTGTTTAAGTTCCTGTGAATAATTAAGAATCACTAATTAATACAGCCCATTAATCTAAACCCCCTTTATCTAAACACTAGTGCGGTACCCGTGCAATGCACAAGATAATTTTATTAAAGTAAGCATTCTATATTTGGATGATTGGAAAACGTAAAACGCATGTATTAGAATAAAACAAAATGTAACTTATACATTACTAAACACATTCTTATATACAATGTTATTTGTTTGGTATTTTGGTACATCGTCTAATGCATTGCACAACTAAAATTTGTGTGGGTCCTTAGGATTGAGTAACATGAGACACGATCAAAGCAATTAAAACTTGGTCGGGTCAACTTCGTTAGACCCAATCAGATTATTATTTTATTTTTAGTGTATTTCAATATTTTTTATTTTAAAAATACATTTATGTGATATAAATTTATGTGTTAAATATTTATGATGAGATACAATCTTAATCTCTGAAGCATAAAATTTACATGTAAAATATTATTTTATTGATACTTATGCAAAATCACTATATATATATATAAATATATATATATATAAATATATGTATATATAAATATATAGTTAAAATTAGTAAAACCAATTATTCGATTATGGAATTGAACCAGTAACCCGAAGGCCAGGCTGGGTCGGGTGTTAAAACATTGCTTTGTAGAAAACGAGTGCTAATTAAAAACATTATACTTAAATTCTAAAATAAATAAAAAAACCTTAAATTTTTTTATTTTATTTTAGAAATACTTTTATATAATATTTATAACTGTGTACTAGTACAACACTCGAGATTATACGAGTACTAGAAAATAAAATATACTGAAATTTATATATACGCATACATAAAAATACATATATATATATATATATATATATATATATATATATATATGAAAAGTTTTTATTTGAATTTTAAATACCTTTACAAAAATTAAATTATTATTTATATTTATTTTTACGCGTACGACTTGTCCGTCTTATCTTATAATAATTTTTTTAATTCATATGTAATAAATTATAGATAACTTTATTAATTGATACATGAATTTATTAAAAAAACTATGCAAAATTCATAAAACAATAATATATAAGAGGGATGATTCATTGATTTAAATTTAAATACTTTATAAATATAATACTCTTATTTATATTCAATCGCTTATACGATTTGTTCGTCAATATTATAATATTTTCTAATTCACTTAATTGACATATAATTTTATTAGTTTTTAATTTGGATTCACAGATGATTTAATTTTATGATAACAAATAAATTTATTTATTTATTTTACATATTCAATATGGATATCAAAACTTGTCAAAAGATGATTAGTCTGAAATATTATAATTGAAAATTTGATAACAAATACAAAATTTATTACCTTTTAAAAAGATTTATAATTCAAGTTAGTCAAGTACTTTATAATTTAAAATACTTTAATAGATATAGATATAATTCAGATGATCATGAACTACTTTGAAGCACTAAAAGAAAAGTAACCATGTAGTGTTTGAACTTTGAACTTTGAACTCTATTCTTGTGTCCACATAGTTTTCTCACAAAATATCTAATTATTTTTTATCATTTAATTAGATCATGAGTGGGTAAAGTTTTTGTTTGAGAATATTGAGTGGCATTATATTTACTTTCTAGTATTAGAAATTATTTTATTGATGTTGTTATTTACCTGTATACAGCAACTCGAATCCCGTTATCCATTAACTCGTGAAGGATAGGGAGAACAGTGTATGCGCTGTCCTTCCAATTGATGATGATGCTGCAAATATTCACATAAAAGTATTTTTAGCTATTTAGTTAGTTAGTATATATATAATATATAATTATTATGCAAATAAAAAATAGCTTATAAAATTAATTAGTAAAATGCACCGTGTATGTTATATTTTGGAATATCAATTAGTAATATTCTCCTTACCAAAAAAAAAAAATGGAAAGAATTTATACAACATGTGCTACGTCGATTTTTGACGTTTTCAACAAGATATACTGTTTTTGGTGGAATGCAATATGAATTTAATGAACTATTACAAGTTGCAAAGTCTTGTGCATCTTGACCATACAATCATCCGCTAAATTGTACATTTATATGGTTAAAATGTACGAGAGGTAGCAATTTATAAATTTTTATACGATTATGGTTGCATTTTCCTGAATATATATATATATATATATATTGTAACACCCCGAGTTTTATTAATAAAGGAAATACTAGCTTTTAGTTTTAAGCTAGCCTTTGTTAATAAATAGTCATGTTCATGTTCAAGTTCAAACAAATCAGTCAATCAGATTCTAAGTTCGACTATTAGTCGATATGTTATTCGATTAATAATCGAATAAGTTTTCAGATTTAATTCCGATTCATTTACTTAGTTAATGAGTCTGGAATTAATAAGCCCAGTTGACGAATTATTCGAAATATTAATGTTCGGATTAATCGTCTAAGTTAAGAATATTCGAATTAACTTTCGAATATCAAGTTCATGTTCGGAATAATATTCCGATAATTAATCCAGTCAGAGTTCCTCATGTCAAGTTCGGTATACCTATACTGTGACGCGTTCACATTGGTACACCGTCCATCGTTAATTAAGTAATGGTCATTAGCCCGTGCTTAATTAACTTAATCATGTTTAAGCTAATTAATCAAGATTAGCTTAAGATAATCATGTTTAGCTTAATGTTAATTAAATTAATGAGGATTAATTAAGATAATCATGTTTAGTGCTAATCATGCCCTAAGTAGTTCGATTAGCCATAAGCATTCACTAAGCTATGTGCATGACCAATGGCATGCGTCATTAGCACGCCTAATCAGTTCCTAAGCATGTCCTTAGTGTGAAGTTAGCAGCAGCATGGGCGTTAGCCTTAAGCATGCGCATTAGCGCATAACTCGCGCTTAGCGCGGCTAATGGCCAAGGATTAGAAGCAGCCCACACCTTCACGTGTAAGTCAGCTTATTGAGGACACATGGCAGCCAAGGGAAGGTCAAGAGGATGACTAATGAGTTCAAGTAATGAATCAGCCCTAAATGCCACTCTCACGGCCTTAGCACGCGGCACATGGCGCAAGGCTATTGGCCGAGCTATTCCTTTTCCTTACCTCTTCTTTGCACCGTATTATAAGTTCATATTTTCAGAAGGAAGTGTGGGAGATTCACACACACTTACGCTCAGCAAAATACTTAGAATAAATCAAGAAAAATAGCCATGAACATACACATGCGTGAGTTTATGACCGGGGGCGATAAATGAGGTTGTCCATGGGGAATCATGTTCTTTCATGGAAGTTTACCGAACACTTAACAAGGTAAGCTGATAATCAGTATCCTCTCATGTTAATCAAGGCATGTTTAAGTCAGGTTCAGCATTTCATGTCAAGAGAGTCATGTAATTTCATGTTAAGCTCGGTATTGGGAGTCATGACCGAGTAACCTTTAGATATATTTAGATTTCACCGAACAACCCAAGTTCAATTAGTCATGTTAGGTCATTATATGTTCAGTCTTAAAGATAGGTCAGGGAAAGTTGAAGATTAGTTCATGAAATAGGCTATGGAAGTGGACTGCGCATCCAGCGCAAGTCCACGGACCGAGGCTTTGCCTATCATGTTATCATGTTACATGTTCAGAATCATCCGAGT